TATATATATATATAATTTGAGTGAATCAAAAAGAAAATCAACTGAGCTCCTCAGCATTTCTTCACTCACATGAACAATTCTCGACCTCAGCAATAATTTAGGCCAATTATTTAGGCAATTTTAATACCAGAAAACAGACGATTGCCACATCGACATAAGATCTCGAAATCAAATTCTGCCTAGAGTATTTACTTGCTTTATAGCACCTGCAATGTTTGGGGCATCATTATTTTGTAATGTCTTCAACACCTTTTCCACATTATTTGCATATTTCTCTAGGCAGTTTCACAAAAATCCCATTAAGAAACAAAACGAAACTCATTTGGCCACTTGAATTTGCATTGTTGCTCTGTTGCTGCCGCTGTTTATGGTGAGTGCGGTTACTTTTCTGCGAGGTCTATAATTAGATTTTGTTATTTTGGGCGCGGCTGGGTGTGGGCGTGCCGGCGACACTAAGACCCACACCCAGTTAATCATGGCGGCTGGCCGTCGATGAGGCAATGTCAATGCCAGAGCAATTGTTGCAACTACGCACAAATTGAAAGCCGATTGAGCATAGGTATTGAGGCTGTAACAGATTGTAAGCGGCTTAAGTAGCTACACATATAGATCTGTGTAGAGTTTGCTATATATGTGTGTTGTTTGGTTTTTCGGTTAACACAGTTCCGGCTGGGTTGGCTGCCCAACCGCAGCCTCGGGCATTCAGCTGACCAACTGCAATTAATTCAAGGCTAACAAAAGCCTCATACTCGTTAAAGCGACGCCCTCACAATGTTGTTCAACTTTCTTAGCAATTACCAGATGAAAGGGAATTTCACTTGCAGCGTACCGAGAGACAATAACTAAGTTACAACAGTTGCCCAACTGAGGGCATTGTCACATTTCACTTTCATTGCACAGAGATGGAAAGATACGGAAATATAGACACAGAGATAGAAAGAGACAGAGATGGAAAGCTGCATATATACAGATAGAGATACAGAAATACACAAATTCTATACATTTCTATAAAGATACAGGAACAAAGCTACAGATCGATGAATACAAAGATACATATACATAAATGCTAATATAAACAGAAATATACAGTTACAAGTATACATACACACATGCAGATATCTATATTTAAATGCAAAGATACAGATATACACATATAAAGATACAAAGGCTTGAATACTAAGATACAGATACATATATACGGACAAAAGATTATATATTTTTGATACAAAGTACATATAAAGCTACTCAGATACAAATTTAAAACTCCAAGGATAGGTATATATGCAACATATAAGGTTACTCAGTCACAAATACAAAGATAGATCAATACAGATTTTAAGCAGCAAACACATAACACACAAATACTTATATGATGTGATATAATGATAAAACAAAGAAACATGTGCACTGATTCGGATACCAAGATTCACATATATGTATATAGGCAAATTCACATGCTTGCATATACAGCTACAGATACAAAGACACAAAGATACAGAGATTTACATGGCTACAGCATTGCATACAATAAGTATATGTCCAATAATGGACAATCATTTCAAGTGCAGGCCAATGTCTCTGGCAGAGCTGAAGTCAGTCGGGTGTGACAACGGGTTTGGCTAGGTACGGCCCCTAGGTAGTGGGGACTACCTCCCCTCTGTACCGGCAGCTATTCAAAGTGACCGCAAGTGTGTTTAATTTCTATAATTTACTAGCTCTTTTGCTCTCTTGCTCTCCCTCCCTCCCTCCCTCTCTCTCACTCTCTCTCTCTCTCTCCCTCTCTCTCTCCAGCGTCAGTTGAACTTTCTTCTTTCACTGTGCCACCTGTAGACCTCCACGAATGGGTCTATCCTGCTCTGGGTTTGAGTTCCGTTTTGGCGGCTGTTACGATATTTCGCATTTATTTTGTATTTTTTTTTTGCAGTTATTTTTGCAACTTTTGCTTTCGTTTAACCCATTTAATGCGGGTCTGGTCCGGTGTGTTGGTCTGGTCGGGTCGGCTCTGGCATCCGTTATAAGCATGTGCATTTTTCATTGCAACGGTAACAATACCAACACACACACACACATGCACACTTGTGTGTTTGCCTTTAATGCAGTGGAAAAGTGAAAACGAAAGTGATCAGAGCTGCAGTTATCCAGTTAGCTGATCAGTTGCTCGCATGCTGAACCATCCAGCCAGCTCCAACTCCGGTCAGTTGACTTTCGTTTTGGAATCTCCACTTTCTGCATGTGTGTGCGTGTGTGTGTGCGCGCCATGATAATGATGATGCAATTAAAGGCCAGGCCAGCCCAGCCGCAGCGAATTAACATATTATCCATATGCAAAATCAGTCAGCAATAAGGAAATCATTCGACAGTTGAGCGATCACTGATCAACGATCATTGTGCACATGGATCACAGCAGTATTGTTCATGATGACAAATTATAGACACTGTTTATACTAAATGCAATTTCTCGCAATGACCAAACTGTAGCGACTGCTACAATTATGGCAATTGGTTGGCATTTATGGACCGTTAGGCCGACGACAGAGCTGTCAACTTGCTTTGGCCAAGTCCAAGAGCCGGCTGCAGCCGGCAATTATCAATGGCTGTTGTGGCTGCACCAGTCCGCCGTTGTGGTTATAGCAACCTTTCACCTGTCCCGGCCTAAGAAACTGGTTTCACATTCCCTCCAATGCAAATCAATAGAATCGACAATCGCCCACTGACCTTGCTTTGTGCTCGTTGCTCTTTGCACGTGTCGTGACGGTGTTCTTCTAGAGCTACGCTGCAGTCTGTTATTATCATTGTGTCACGAATTAAGAAGTTTTACGCTTAGTTGATTTAATGAAACAGAAGGTGAAATAACCTCAGTAAATCTCTTGAGACAAGTACTGAGGGAAGATAGGAGTTGAAGGAAATGAGAGTCCCATCGGTACAGCAGCTGAGAACCCTTTCTCCTATTAAGTTTACACTCCACAGGCATTATATACTTGCATTTACCCTTAGATTTACTGAAGTTTTAAGACCTCTATAGAAGCAGAAAATTTGTGGTGTTGCCAACACGAGACACTCTGATTTCATTTATATCCCACACTAGACGAATTTCCCTGCCGTAATAAAATTTCCCTTCATTTCAATGCAACTCTTTCTCTCTACTCTTCATTTCCAGGCAGTTTGACTATGAAACGACGCATGCAACTCATTGCCGTGTGGCTGGGCCTTTTGGTCTCAGCCAGCTACGCACAGACGCAAAAGGAGTCCTCGGGCAAATGGTCGCGGCAGCTGGAATCTGTGGGCACTGCTGACACTGGCGATGCGCTGGACTGGGTGCCCCTGGCACAGCCGCTGGATGAAAGCGGCAAAGATCGCTCGGGCAATGGCCGTGTGCTCACCTATTCGCAGTCCTTTCCGCCCAGCGGGCGTTTCGGCGAGCTGAGCAAACCTTTCGATTATCCGTATCAGTTTCAACGTTTTCCCCAAGCAGCACCGCTGCGGCACCAGGGACCACCGCCGCCGCTGAAGAGCAGCGCCGCCCAGGAGCCCACCTCGCAGTCGTTCTTCAAGTTCGAGATGCCCTTCCACAACGAGGCGAATCAGCCCAATGCGCCGCCCACGCTGCAAACGGGCTATCAGATACAGCACTCCTTTGGCGGCAGCTCACTGCCCGCTCCCTCCTCGCTGTTCAGTCCACCCTCGCTGTTTGGCCAGCAGCCGCAGCCGTATTCCGACTTCCAGAAACCACTCGCCCAGGCGCTGAGCAAGCCACTGCATCAGCAGAACTTCATACAAGACAATTTCCCACTCAAGTCTCATGCCAAGCCCATACCCACGCAGGCCTCCCTCCAGAGCGTAACGCCACAGGTTTTCCCCGTTGATCCCGAGCCGGAAAATGTGTTTGGCTTGAACAAGCCAGCTGCTCCCTCCTCTGCCGCCAACACTAACAGCCAACAGCAGCAGCAGCAGGAGGTCCAACTGCTCTATGTGCCCTACGATACGCTGTACAATCAACAGCGACAGAATCCGAGCTCCGCAGGACTCGGCGCGAGCAGTAACTTCGAGGTGAACAAGTTCAATGTGAACGCCGGCCTGCCCGCTGTCAATCCCTATCAGATCAATCAGTTCTACACACAAGATCCGAGTGTGGGCAGCGATTTCTTTAGCCCCGGCACCACGACCCGTCCAAGCACCACCACAACTCAGCCGCAGCACATCTTCCAGAGCTTTGCCCAGCCGCAAGCCCAGGTGCAATCGCAGCCACAGTTCACGACAGCCAAGCCCAAGCCGAAGGCACATCAGCCCCCATTGGCCATGTTCCTGCTGCGTCCCAATGCGCGACCCACCCAGTCGGATGTGGTTGCGGCGCTGCGCAATGCGCACACCATTTCCGTCATCGATGCGCCCACCAAGCAGACGCCGGAGATATTCGTCGGACCCGCTGGCATGCCCATACCCGATGGCTATGTCAAGTTCGATCTGCCCTATCTGTCGCAGCTGGCGCACAGCCGCGATCTGCAGGACGTCTCCTTCTTTGTGGCACCGCTCAGCTATCGCACGCCCAATGGCTTCAATAAGATATTGCTGCCCGAGCCGCATGTGGGCTCCATTGTGATCAACCGCGCCAAGGATACGGCTGCCAGGCAGGAGCTCGTCCAGCCTCAGCCCGTGCGTCCGCAGCGTCCGACCAGCACACGCAACCCCTTCGAGAGCACCACTCAACCACAGCGCGCCATTGCCAGTCCAGCGCCGACGCGTGGCAACAAGTTCAGCTACTATTACGTGCAGGACGGCAACCAGCAGCAACAGCAGCAGCAGCAACAGCAGCAGCAGCAGGAGGTCAACACGCCTAAGCCCGCCAAGCAGGAGCGCCACAAGAAGAAGCGACCCCAGCATGTGGCCGTGGAGCAGCCCGTTTATCGTGCGCCCGCCAAGACACCAAATCCCTTCGATACACTGAATCAAATTGGAGGCGATGACTTCTTCAACACACTCAGCACCAAGCCCAGCAGCACCTCAACCACTAGCTCCACTTCCACCTCCACCTCAACCTCCACTTCGACTACCTCCACGACGGCTACACCACAAACGCTCTTCACCTACAGCTCAAGGCCGCAGGTTGAATTCCCCAGCTCGAACGGTCAACTATATCCACAATTCGATCCCTCTGGACAGCTGCAGCCGGTGGTGCAGGAGCAGCTGCCACGCCTCACCACCCGGCCGCCCACTTCAACCACAGCCGAGGAGGAGCTGCGCATGAAGCAATACTTCCGTCAACAGGATGCCTTCCGTCAGCGACCACAAACCACCAACCCACCCTTCGAGCAGTCGGTGCAGTACGTCCAATCCTCCCAAGACTACGAGGCGCCGCAGCCGTCAACGACGCAGAGGACCAAGCAGCGTGTTAATATCTATACGCCAGTGACGACCTCGGACGTGGGCTACAATGTGGATCCACAGGGACAGCCTCCGCTGAATCATCGTCCCAGCTACAACCAGAACGAGGTCAATGTGGAGTACGAACCGAATCCGTATCATGTGCCGTCCGAGCTGCCACCGCTGACACCGGACATACCCGGCCTGGTCAACAATCTGCAGGAGAAGGATAAGCTGCCAGCCAGCACAACACCCCTCAGCGAACCCGAGCCAGAAACCCGACCCACACGTCGTCCCTTGCGTACGCGCAAACCTGCCGTCTCAAAGGTAGTGACCACCTCGTCGGTGTCTTACTCCGAGTCGGAGAGTAATGTCAAGGTGCCCACACATCGCATCAGACGTCCCTATGGCAGTCGCGGCACGGCATCGGACAATGCTGGTGAGGAGCAGTCCAGCACCCAGACCAGCACACGTCGTCCGGCCACATCGCGTAATCCCTTGCTGCGCAATCCCAATCGCATACGCTACCAGCCCACCACAGAGGAGCGTCAGACACTCAAGACCAAGAAGAAGCACTACAAGGGCTCAAAGAATGGCAAACCAAGCGAGGATCAAGATCTGGACTATCAGCGCGATGTGCTCAAGCAGAACTATCCCGTATTCAAGGCACCGTCACGTCGGCCCACCAGTCCCACGGCCATACCCAGCTCCTATGATGTGGGCAACACCGAAGGCCCCGCCTCAGAGACCCAGCAAGTGTACACGGTAACGCCCAGCAACAGCATCGACCAAGACGAGCAGAGTGTCTATGTGCCCAGCCTGCTGGAGCCCATGCAAATAGCGCAGCACTATAATGAGTTCTCCAAGGACAACTATGGACCCGGCTATTTTCCCAATCAGGAGGACCTGAATCCCACAGAGGCCATTGTGCGCAACGAAGTGAGTCCCATCTACACAACTCTGGCCACTACCACGCCCTCCACTACCACAACAACGACCACAACAAGAACAACAACCGAGGCACCTGTGACAACAACAACACGTCGCTCGCCCTTCATACGCCGCAATTATCCGCGAGTGAGGACTACAACAACAACCGAAGCCCCAGTGACCAGCACCACCCCAACGACCGAGGAGCGTCCATCCGTAAGTCCTTAATGTTTAGTGAGAAATCTATCCTTACATCTTTTATCTCTAGCTGCGCTCTCGCCTACCACCGCGTCGTGTGGTCAAGGTGCGCCAACGTCAGCGTCGCCCCACGCATCCTGCCTCCTCGTCGACAGCTGCGCCGGAAGAGGAAGCGGAGCCCGTTACCCAGCGCCAGAATCTGCGCAAGCTGAGCCGCTACAATCAGGAGCAGAACGAACAAAAGCCGGTAAGTGAGCAGATGGAACTTTAGTTATATATCCCTTAACCCATCCCCCCCAAACTGCAGCAGACAACGACACACACGCCACGTCGTCGGTACAAGCAGCCCTTCCAGCTGGAGGGTCAGGAATCGCAATGGTCACCCGCCTCGGAAACGGGCAACAGCAACACCAACAACAACAGCAACAGCTTCAAGCCGCTGAATCCCAAATACGGCAGCAAGAGCGAGACGCACAACTTCGACAATGAGCCAGAGATTGTGACGGCGGGACCCACAGATCAACCGGAAACCTACGAATTCAACGTAGCTGCCAATCTTGGTGGATCTGGTGGTGCACAGCGCACCACACCGACGCTCAAGGAACCCAATCTCAAGTAAGCTCTAGATTTGCTAGAGAAGGTGATAAAAGCCCTTACCCCTCTCTCTCTCTTTCATTTGCAGACCCGAAAAGTCCTTTGCGGAGCTGTTGGAGGAAGTCATGGGCAAGGCGCCCGAGCAGCTGGCCACCGAGTCGCCCATAAGCAGCACCATTTCGCGCCTCAACAGACGCGGCAAGTGGAAGAAGTCGCGCGTCTCGGGCGGCTCAGACAATGGCGAGAATTTCGAGACGGCTGAATCTCAGAATCTGGGGCCGCAGCTCTACAACTCGCTCTATGCCGGCAAAGACCCAAAGGCGGAGCTGAAGCTGAAGGAAGCCATAACAACCACAACGCCCATGACACCAGCCACTGAGGCACTCACCACCAGCAGCCCCGCTGAGCTGGTGACCACCACAGCTGCAGCGCCCACAACGCCCGCGGAGTACGAGGTGACCACCGTTAAGGCGCCAGAGGCAACGACCACCATGGCCACCACGTTGGCGATGAGCGATGAGAGTGCAACGCGTCGCATGGACACAGCGGCCGATGTGGACGATCTGGACACGCAGCCGAGCATCTTCTCCGAGGTACGACAACAGCTGCACGATCTGTTTGCCATCGACGAGAGCGAGGATCAGGCGGTAACTGCAGCGCTGGCAGCTGTGGGCAAGCGTCGTCAGGATTACACCAGCATCAGGCGCACGAAGCCGGTGGAGAGCACCACAGTGGCGGCCACCGAGGCGCCCGCCGATGTGCTGGCCATTACGACGCTGGCAACGCCATCTGGCGGCAAGGAGGACAACTTCCACAAGGATCTGATGCAGCATGTCGTCTATGCGACGTCCACATCCACCAAAGTTACCTCCGAGACAGAGATCTGTTATCGTGGCCGTTGCATACGCTCCGAAGATTTGCCCGCCAATCACAAGCTACACTGAGCGAAATTGAAGCCGGTTGAGAGCTTCGCATGTAAATACGATAGGGCCAAGCGATACGAGATAGGTGAGGGCAGTACGAATTTGGATATTCGGAACAATATTTACCCTACATCCGCTTGCAATTAGCTTTAAATTACGAATTAAGCGTATATAGAGAGCTACATACATATACATATATACAAATACATATATACATATGTCGTATTCTATCTATATTCTAATCGAATCGCTTCGAACAATTTAGTAAATATAGAAGTTAAAATATTTAGTTGTTTAGCATAAACTTAATACCACTTAGGCAGCATAAGTTTTGTACAATAAATGATTGAAGAACTAACATAAATAAAGAATCTAAACCGATAATATACTATATAAAATATATGCTACAAATTAGTAATACTATTGGATAGGGGATTATATCTCAGCGTTGTGATGCCCTTCGATACCTATGGGCGTAGACAAGGAGAAAATGTCGAGAGATGTGTAATGAATCTCGAGGAGTGAAATGGTTTCCCTTCCATATTGAGTAATACACTCATGGTATATATACATATATAATATATACATAAACAAAATAATCTACTGGTACATTAATCTGCTCTAATACAATAATATTTATATTTTATGGGGGAATATTACACACAAACATCCAGAATAGTGAAAGACCGCAATTTAATATGCCAAGATTTAAAAAAATAAACAAATCATATTTCCGTGATATTTGACCCAAGTAAACCTAATAATGGGAACGGAGAAACCTCATATATACATATACAAATATATATATTTCTTAGTAACTGCAACTGAGAAGTCCAGACATACTAGAGAAATATTCGTTATATTTCTCTTGTAATCCAAAAAAAAAAAAAAAAAAAAAACCTATAAATTGAAACCCTAATATCTTATAGATAATGACTAATTAATGTTTGTCACAGACACGGAATAAACATATACAGTAAAGGCCTTATACATTAGCTCTGACGTGGGTATTCGCCAGGGCAGATAAAACGTTTTCAGACAGAAAAACATAAGTCAGATAATAAATTGAGTAAATGAACTGCAAACATTACAGATAAACCTATGAGGAGGAAGTAAGAAACTAGAAAAATTGAAAAGCCGATAATAGAATTGCACAGAAATACCCTTAAGACATAAACTAAAACAGTTGATGATAAAATCACATACCTAGAATAGAAATACATAACATCAATAATATATTTAGTATACATACATATATATTTTGGTTCACATCAAATCCTTTAAATATACATACATATTTATTAAATAATTTGTTATCATATGTCATACATAGCTAGTTGTTGTAAAAATTCACTATAAGCTAACATAAAATAGCGGCAATCAATTCCATAATATAATACCCTACGATAAGGTACATCAGTTTCTTTGCTAAGACTCACCTCGGAATGTAAATTCGAATAGCATAGGAATCAATTGAAAACTATATATATAGATATCCATACTTAGGTATCAATTAAAGGCGCGCGTTCTGTCTCATCTGGCCCATTGACAGACACAGAGCGCGCCTGTCTGTGGGAGCTGGTACTGTTCCAGGGCTGGACAGTGAAACGTCCAAACAGAATAAAAACTAAATTGCCAATGAAGTAGACAAAAGCCGTGAAGTAAAAGACAATGCGCCATTGCATGGGATTGGTCTGTGAAAGGAAAAGAAATGATTATCTAAGATGATTCTTCTTCCAGTCAAAGACTTGTCTTAGCTCACCTCATCCGTAACAATGAGCCCCACAATGAGCGGGGCCAAGATGCTCATCACATTCGCGGCACAGTTGGTGATGCCCATCAGAGTGCCAGCGAAGTTGGGCGACAGATCGATGTGGTTGACATGGAAGCCCAGATAGCTGGCCGAATTGGTGGCCACCGCCAGGGTGAGCAGGCCGATGGCCAGCCTGGCGTTCGCGCTGCCCTGGGTGATGAAGCCCAGGCCCAGCAGCGCCAGCATTGGCAGCCAGAGGCCAATCGAGTTGAAGAGCTTGCGCGAGAAGCTCAGCGACATCATGCTTCCATTACGTTTCAGTATATCCGACAGCCAGATGAAGAAGCAGGTGAGCAGGATCATGGCAAAGTAGGGCAACGCAGAGAGCGGGCCATTGTGCTTGATGTCCATGCCCAGCACATTCTTCATGAAGGTCGGAATCTGGGTGAGCAGCGTCCAGAAGCCCCAGTTGTTGGCGCAATGAGCCAAGAGGAGCGACAGGAACGGCAGCGAGGTGAAGATGCGCAGCCAGGGCGTGCGCAGGTTTTGATGTGCCACGAATTCTTCGCGACCCGCATCCGACGGGCGACGCAACTGACCAGAGGTCTCAATGTACCGCCGCTCGTTGGGAGTTATTGAGGAGTGCTGCGCGGGAGTGCTGGCGCACAAGTAGATCCAGACCATGGACCACACAATGCCGGAACAACCAGATATGTAGAATATGCTGGGCCAGCCCAGCGACGAGGATGCAATATATCCGCTCACCGACAGCATGATCACAGTGCCAAACTGGGAGCCCGAATAGCAATAGCCCACAAGCCTGGCACGCTCCTCAGCTGGCGCCCATTTCGACAGGAATGTGTGGGTCGATGGAAAGATGACGCCTTGGCAGAGGCCTTGAATGGCGCGCAATACAACGACCAATTTCCAGCCTCCAGTGATCGCACAGAACGGCGTCAGCAGTGCCAGGCAGGAGCAGATGAGCACGCCGAAGAAGAGCATATACTTGGCTCCAATTATTGCCGAGAGATAGCCGCCCGGCACCTGCGTCACGACATAGCCCCAGAAGAAGCTGCTCAGCAGGTACGACTTGATGCTCTCGTCCCAGGGGAACTCTGGAAATGCAGGATTGGTGTGATTGCTATCCGTCATGGCCACGATGGCCACAGAGAGATTCACACGCAGGGCATATGCCACGGCCAAGCCAAAAAATACTAAAATGCATTGCAGATGACGCACACCAAAACGGGGACCTGTCGAAAATAATAATGAATCACTGTTCCGGAACTACGCCATATTGTCCAGCGGCGCGCTGCGTTTACCCGTATTTCCAATGGCGTCGTAGCCCGTGTGGCTGCAGCAGTCCGCGCAACCTAATACCATGTTTTCGTTGATTAGTTCTAGTGCCGTTGCTTTGTTGTCTTCACAATGGCGGTGCTTGAGCGTCTAAACATTTCGCGCAACTGATAAGCCAACGTTGCACAGCAGGAAAAAACACGCCAACTCTTCTGCTTACGTTGCGATTTGTTATATTTTTCTACGTTGTAGTGGTCAGTACACACAGAACAGCTGTTGCGCCAGCTGCTTACGTACGATAGTTGCAACTATCGTCAAGCAAACACTTCAACAGGCTGTGTTTATTTTCAAATACCGATAGCTGTTCACAATGAGCGCACGATTGGCCACAACTTTCGAGGTCAAGAAAAAACTATTGGGCAACAAACTTATTACTGAGCGCCAGATTGAAAAATTATTCAAAAAGAAAAGATCAACGTTTTTGTTTGGTTTGTAGTATGTATGTAACTGGCTCTATGTTGTGAATGCTTTGCACTGGCTACACCCATGCAGCAACAAGTGCGCTGTGTTTAGTGCCCATTATGGCATTTGAAAACGTAAAGCAAAATAGTTCTGGAAACGCTCACTATCAATATATATTTTTATGAAAGCGCTCTCGGCTTTGTTAGTTTACTAATAGTCAGTATTGATGTGCAGTACAGTATAATAAATATACAATAAGACCTAAGCTGTATTTTGTGACCAAATAACGAGTGTGTATTTCAAAATGTAAATAGTGCGCGCCTTTACGATAGCGCCAGTTATTGCTAAGAAGAGACAACTATCGGACAGCAAACACAGCTGCAGCAACAGTTGCGCTTGCCTATGCGAATCGATTGTTTGCGCTTATCGATGGGCGCCAGATTCAAAAATTACTCAAAATCAAATAAATAAAGTTTTTGTTTGTGTTGATTTCTGTAAATTTGGCTCTTATTATTTGGCCTAATATTTCTTTCTTTTTTCTTTTCGTTTCACTTTTATGTTTTTTGTATGCATATATGTATGTCTTCTTTTCTGCCTTTTTTAGTTGATTTAATTTTTCGTACATCACAAGTTGGTTGTTTGTTTATTACTAATTTAACTAATTGACTAAAGACCTAAGTTTGTTAAGGTATATATGATATATAGTTTCACTTTAAAACATAACAATTATAGAGCAGCGCTTACATTTACTTAACGATAGCAATCTTTGCTATTTACATTGTCAACTAGCTGTGATTATCTCATTTGTTATTGTCTCGTTATTATGGTTTAATTGTTATTTTTTATGTACATTATGGAAGAAATACTGGAAATAATAATAATTTATGCTGCCTACAMGCTAAACAATTATCATATGTTATTATGTTATGTTAATATCGCTATTGGAAGCACGCGATCGTCATTATGGCAATTTAAGGTGTTTCTTGATTAAGAGCTAACTAATTACTATTGTCTTAAGTTAGGCGCTTAGTTTTAGAAAAACACAACAGCTAGAAACTAATCATGCACCCACAAAGTTATTTTCCTATCATTTTACTTAGTTGGACATGATTTAGTCTTAAGTCCAGGGCTCAGGGTTTGCCATTTGCTATTGGGATTGGCTGCCGAGTTTTGTCGCCCGCTAACGGTAAGCCGGCCTCGATGCTCTCCTCGTCCACCATGTCAGGTGTATCCCATTTCTGGATATCCGTGCGCCCGAATACAACAAAGAGCAGATTGCCAATGAAATAGAAGAAGGCAGCCACAAAGAACACCGTGCGCCATTCACTCACATTTTCCTGAAAATCAATCTCAAAGTTAGCCAAGTTTGATTACGTTTCGAGAGCTCGTTCCACTTACCGGATGCTTGACAATCTGACCCACGGCGAGTGGTGCCAGGCCACTCATCACATTGGCAGCCGCATTCGTGATGCCCATCAGGGTGCCGGCATAGTTGGGCGACAGGTCAATGTGATTCACCTGGAAGCCCAGGTAGGTGGCCGCACTGATGCCCACCGTCAGCGTCAGCAGCACCACGGCCAGGACGGAATTCTCTTGGGGCACATAGCCCAGGCCGATCAGCGACAGCATGGGTATCCAGTGACCCACCGAGTTGAAGAACTTCCGATTGAAGGACGTCGATATGGACTTGTTGTTCTGCAGCACCTTCGAGAGCCACACGAAGAAGAAGCTCAGTATCATCATGACCGTGTACGGCAGCGAGGAGAGCAGCGAACTGGACTTGATGTCGATGCTATAGATGTTCTTCATGTAGCTGGGAATTTGGGTGAGCAGCGTCCAGAAGCCCCACATGTGCGTGCAGTGCACCACCAGCAGCGACAGGAACGGCATCGACGTGAAGATGCTGCCCCATGGCGTGGGCGCCATCTTCCGGGCATCCTGCATTTTACCCACCGACCGCGTCTCCTCGATAAACTTCAGCTCCTCGCGTGTGATGCGCTTGTGTTCCTCCGGCGTGCTGGCCGCAAATATCCACCAGAGGAGCACCCACACGAAGCCACAAATGCCGCCGAAATAGAAGATGCCGGGCCAGCCAGCAAAGGAGTCGGCAATGAATCCGCTCGTGGCCAGCATCATGATCGTGCCGAACTGTGCGCCCGAGTAGCAAATCGTGGCCAGCATGCCGCGCTCGTTGGCTGGCGCCCATTTGGATAGCAGCGAGTGGGTAGCCGGATGCACTGCGCCCTGGGTGAGGCCCTCCAGCACGCGCACCACACACAGCGCCTGCCAGCCGCCCAGCTTGAGCGAGAGCGGGGTCAGCAGCGTCAGAATGGCACAGGCCACCAAACCCACCATCAGCAACATCTTGGCGCCATAGCGTTGAGCGATATAACCACCAGGCACCTGGGTCACTATGTAGCCCCAAAAGAAGCTGCTCAGCATATAGGATTTCTCCGATTCCGTAAAGCTGAATAACTGTGGAAGGAAGGGAAGGGAGAGTGGGGCTTAGAACTTGGCTTTACTTTGATTTCATATCTGGTGGCACTCACATCAAACTCCGCTGCCTCCTCGGAGCTGTCGAGCGTCGCATTGGCCTCCGTTGCATTCGATGGACCCGACATGGCCACCAGAGCAACGCTCAGGTTGACGCGCCATGCGTACGCCAGGGAGAGGCAGAAGAAGCACAGGATGCATTGCACATGCCGCACGCCAATGATTTTATCTGCAAATAGTGAAGAGATTTTTTTGGGTTTATAATATTTGAATAGGTAAAATTTTAAAGAAATAGAATTTGAGAAGAGGAACTGAAGTGGGAAACTCCATATAGAACTGCAGAGTCTTAGACAAAACACTGGAACAATCAAACTGAATCAAAAATTTAATTCAACTTGTATTACTTATAGTATAGATACTACCTATCGAAAATGCCCATCGAATTTTCATCATGAATAATCCAGAGATTCAGATTGAAGTGCTCTGCCTTTGTGTGAAGCCCTAATCAAACCACATTGCAATCTCTTTCTCGATTATTATTATCTTATGTCAACTCGTACAATTTTCTAGAACACAAAACGCGCTAAATAGATTATAGATCCACGGTGATCGTGTGTCATCAAGAACCGAACCTAACTGCCCTGCAAATCCTGTCATTGTTTACTTTCGTCATTGTGATTGGAATTGGATTATCAAAGCAGTAAACAAAACATGGGAATTATCTGAGTTTTCCACTGCAGTTATGCTTAGAACGAGCTGCTGAAACCGAACCGAGAACAGAGAATATCAATGTGAAATATGAACTGAATACAAATTTAAGGCTTACGTGGTTTATTATAAGTGGTGAACAAGAACAAGTTAACTATTTTTATTTTTTAATTATATTTACTATCAACTGTTGGATGAGACCAAATGAATTAACGAAAAAAAATGGTCTTATTATTATTAATTGTAGAATCTATTCAAAATTAAGTAAGAATTACGATTTGGGGGCTAGAAAAAGACCGCGAACCTGTTGAGGTTTTTAAATGAATTAATCACACTACATAATATGTAATTGTTCTACAAATAAATAAATAAATAAATATATTTTTAGTGATATATTTATAAATTAACAGGTTTCCGTGTACAACCTGCCTCTAAATTAAGAACGAAAAATTAAAATTAAATCAAAAGCAATGATTATGCAAAAGAACAAAGCACAAAGCAAAATATGAGACCATATTTTGTGGAACTTTTATAATTGAGCTGAAAATTGTTTATGAAGCTGTTCAACTCGTGTTTCAAGACTCTGACTTATAGAGCATTATATCATAGCATATGTGTGGCTCGGTTTGGTGGAGAGAAAAACGTGAGTTGGAGCACTCGCGCTCTTATCAATGACAAAAAGGCAATGAGAGCCCGCTCTCTCTCTCTCTCTTTCTCTCCCTCTCTCTCTCTCTACACCTAGCTCTCTCGTTTAGTATGTGGGGCGCGTTTATTTATAAAACACAGTGTGTCAAAATCTTGTTGTGGCCGCAACACACACGCACACCCAGCCACGTACACGCACACACACACACATACACACATATATATTTATACACACACGCGCAACGCCCACTCGTGTATGTGAATGTGAATTACTCGCGAGATCTGCGCGCCTCAATGAAGTGCAGCAGCAGACGATGACGGTGCTGTACCCAGCAGCGCACTTTAAAAACCAGCTACACGCGACACATACCACGACAGCACCACCAGCACCGCTAGCACCGCTAGCACCACCCTACCTGCCACCAGCCTGCCTGCCAGCGCCAGCCACTTGAGCTACCTGCTAAAACGTTTTGCCAACTCGCACGTGACAGGCGCAGTGCAAGCTGACGGACGGGCGGACAGACAGCCGGACGGACGGACAGCTGGGCAGATCTCTCTTGCGGCCATGTGCAGCTAGACGGACAGACAGCTGTTGGCTATTAATTGGTGGCTCTACTTCCATATATGTATGTTTATATCCATGCAGCCGAAACTCGATTTGGGCTTTATTTTTAGCCGTGCAAAACTGGCCCTAAATGGACTTAGATTTAAGCTAGTGCGGAGGCTACTACGGCTGCCTCTTCTTTTTGCCACTTGTGGCAGCTGTTGCACCAGCAATGGAAACAACCTTGCGGCGCGGCCTCAAACGGCGCGTCTATTGAACCGCATTGGCTCAAGGTGATTGTAATATTATTAATTTTAATTCTCTCTTTTTGTTTTTAGAAAATTTCTATTGCCTTAATTATTAATTAATTAAATTCGCTCAATAATTAAAAGTAGTGGAGGTTGGCGCGCTGCTTGAGCTTTGAGTTTTGTTAATTTACAGACGATCTCTCTCTCTCTCTCTCGCTCTCTCGCTCTCATGTTGTCTCTCGTCATATTAAGCTGAATCATTTTATGTTGAAACTTGCTTTATTTAAATTTATATCTGGCACGTTTTGGCGCTTCCTTTTTATGTGCTTCTTCTTCACGCTTAGCAACAATTTCTGAGCAGCGCTTTTGATGCTCGCTCAGCAAATTATAAGAGAGTATATTAGAATATTTTAATTGCCGTTGTCATTGCCTGAAGCTGGAATTATTTAATCTTATAATCGATTATGATTTTAATGCTACTTTTAGAGATTTTATGATGATTGTTTTTCAATTTGCAATTTTAAGCTCTAGTTGACCTATTTTAAATATAATCTCATAAGTTTCATTTATTTGAAATGTAAGCTTAGTAGATCGGTTATCTCTCTAAAGTCTTTGGTATTAACTTTACAGTTAGTTCATAGAAAAAATGGACAACTTGGAGAGTTTTTTAACTATTAACTTTTGCTTCTCATGTCTGAGCAAGTATTAAACACTGAGTTGCTCGCGACTGCAACTCAATTGATTTTTGCTTTTTTTTTTATTGACGTGCTCTAAATATTAATTTATACGCTTTTGTTTAATCGAAAGCAAAAAGCAAAAAACAAAAAAAGGAAATACAAGCAATTAAATTTTTGCTCCACAATTGGAAAAACAACAAAAACTGACCAAAGAGCATAAATATCATCAATAAAACATTTATGAAAGTTGATTTTAAAAGATTGATTGCCAATTCTTGATACCCTGGAAAATGCCTATATGTGGAGTTTTAGGTGCTGTGAAGGGAAACTTTGGTACCAGATACCCTGTAGCCTGATTATATATGTACATATATGCACCCTAACTAAGAAAAGTTTCTGAAATTCGATCTGTTATACCCTGTATAATAAATATACTTATTAAATTCGATCATTAATACCCTGTAGACTAATATAAAGTGTATGTCATATGTGTACATTATACCCTAGCTTAGTTTGATACCCTGTATAATTACTAAATATGTTAGACACACATTACGTACATTTCGATGCTTGATTTTTGAAGATTGATTGCAAACGTAGATACCCTGCAAAATACCCAAATATGCCATATACATACATACATATGCGTTCATATACATGCATATCTGGCACATTCTTTACAGTTAATTCAGTCACATTTTGAGAACACGCTTTTCG